CTTTGATATAAGCCCGAATGATAACAGGGTATTAGCGAGTGTCAATGATCTCGCCCATCATTTCACCCGACCATCAAGTCATAATCAGTGAGTTTCGTCGTAATTGCCAAAACACGAACCGACTTCGAACCGCATGAAAACATAATCATGACAGAAATGCAAGTAGTTTAAAAATGAAATATTTCGGTTATTTAATATTTGGTAATATTTTGGTCAAGTACTGAAGTTAAAACCGTATCCCTCCGAGTACCCTTAATACCAACAGGTATGAAGACGTATTAAACGTAAACAATACGATACTTACGCCATGTTGTCAATCGATATGTGCTTTCTTTTGGATGGCTACAATTCAACAAATCGTGCTGCAGTAATAATATTTAAGTCAATCCGTTATACACACGTTTAAATATTTCGTTGCATTCATTAGTTTTCTATTACATCATAAGCATGTAGATTTTTTTTGAGATAATGGAATCAACATGTAAGCTATGAAGCACACGCACGTCTAGATTTAATCGTAGTTATATTTTATAGTAAGTATATGAGCATGGCTGTATACACAGGGATTCTAGTGAAAATGGTTATTTTGGTGGCCGCTGTAAAGTCACGAATATTCTTTAATATTTTCAATAAATGCATGTTGAACATATACAGCTTTTAATTGAAGACTTGTTTTGGGTATTTATGTTTTTGTTTCACAATAATGCTGCCATACATCTCCACATACAACTATTCCGCCATCATAAATTTGTTTTTACTGGTAAATCAAGACATTGTATTTAAAATGTTACTGAATGAAATAAGGACTATGAGTTATCGAGTGTCATGTTATTCTAAAACCGGCTTATAGAAGCCAAAGATAATACTAGTGTAAGCTTGATCTTGAATAATCTTCTTAAACGTCTTGTATATACCTTATATCAACTTGGGTTTATACATCAATCTAAATTTTTGGTGGTGATGGTTCAAGTGTGTATTTTATTCGTATTTGGGCCACCTGACCATGTACGCAAATACGCATGTACACACATATACCTCAAACAACGGGGACATGCATCTGCAGGGCGTCAATACATTTAAAACATCTTCGTTTATATAAGTATTTCAGCTTTTGTAGCCAGGTTTTATATATTGTTACCTTCCATGGACATTTACTTTACAATATTAAACTCAAACATTTGCTTGGTGACATTAAACTTGAACTTCGTGCGATCTATGAATTGCGTCTAAGACTAGAAACTGTTTTAAATTGATCCAGAAAGTACCACTTCACTGTACCATTTATTTATTCATAGCTCGTGACATCTCGAATGACGTGTACACACTAGCTAACTCAAAATACACACTTTACCAGCATGTTTTCGGCGACAATAAATCTACTAACGTTTCTAAAAACAATTTATAATAACACCATCCCGAAGACAATCCAGCTCAAATGAAAAACACATCGAATATCTTATCTCAAGTTTTAAAACTGTATTGTTGGTAAACTTAGTTACATCAAAACGTGATGTTGAACCCACGGAACTGCTCAGTGATATTCGTATATTGGCAAGGTAGATATTTTCTGAATACCGTAGCTGCTACATTTTGCCGACAATAAAATTTTGAGAAATATTATTAGCGTGGATAAAGGTCATCTTGTCCATGAATAAACACACAACGACTAACATATAATCTGCTAGTAGACCAACAATATTTTAATACAATAAATAA